TATTTTGATATTATTTTCCCAATAAATTTTGAACTGTTAAAAGATTTGTATCAATTAATGTTTTTTTCATCAAAGTCATCATTGGATGAAAAAGTTAAAATCTTGACACATAAAAATTTTATGGAGAGATATGCAGATTTAAACAAAACTAAAACTTCAAGTGGAGAAAATCCTTTATTGTTGTATTATGAAAATGTTAAATTTTTATTGACATGAATCTAATAATATTGTTATATAGTTATTTATTGATTTGTTGTAATCTTGTAAATAAGATTATTATAACAAAAAAAAAAATGATAAATTTTGAATTTCTTGTTCAAATTCTTCTAATAAAATGATCTTTTTTATTATTCATGAGATTCAAATTGTTTTCATAATAATTATGATGCTTAAATAACAACAAGGGCCACTGTTGCATATGTATGTCTAAATCATTGAAGCATTTTAACATTTTGTGAAATTATATATTAGAAAAAGTTTCCCAATAATGAATTAGTAATATGATTTGATATATCTTAAAATAAAGCCTTTGTCTATCTCAATCCAGTAATCTTCATATGGAAACCTTTCTTTTATATTCCAACAAATAGAATAAAATATCCTCTGATTAATTCATCTGTCTCTTTTAATTTCATGATGACTACAGTTTGTTCAATGTTAAACCAAAAACCGATCTTGAAGACCCACATAAGATTAATTCATAATTAATTGTGACGGATTTGAAATATTGGTTGAAGTATGTCCTTGGAGAACGTGGTGAAAATGTAAAAAATAAATTAGTTTGTGTGATAAACATTTTATTAATGTAATTAATAAAAACAAGTGATTGTTATATATATGTGTATAATTTGAAGTGTATAATAATGCACAATGCTTTTTAGGTATAAATAATAATTACAATTATGTATAAATGCTATTATAAATAAACAAAAGGAAGGGAAAAGTAGGAAAACTACCGGGCTTATGTGCAATGATTGTAGAAAATAATTTCCCAAGCCAATTATAATCAAGAATTTAAAGTTGGTAGTTCACTCAGATATTTGTACTGTGACAAACGCGTCTAATATTCACTGGTCAGAATTTTTAATTTTGACAAATAAATGAAGGAAATTGGTTCATTTTACAAATTTAGAAAACATTCGTTAAAGGGAATTAATTGATATTTAATATCCAATTGATAGTTCATCGTTTATTGAACAAATTCTTTTGTATAACAGTATGAAATTTATTTAAACATGTAAAGATATGTATAATATCTTGTAGAATTTTATTACTTTTATTACTTGGATTGACGAAAATGATACTGTTGTTTCTTATGTTTGACGTGATCTACATTTTATTGTTGCGAGTGACAGAGCAAGGGAGAAAAGAGATTCTAATGATGCACATTTGGGGCATACTGCAATAAAATGAACATTTTAATTTGTATGGTGCGGGTCACCCTAACACATCAAATAACTTTAAATCTAAATAGGGAATATTAAATGCTTGTCTGAAAAAAAAATAGAGATGATATTTGATAGCTATTGACTAGTTCTAGAACCTATTGTCGAGAAAATTTTATATGTGATATATAAAAACACTTATCTAGCTTTAAAGTTGATCAATTTTTATTTAAAGTGTTAGTGTGACTCACATACTACCAAGAATTTCAGGGTTCAAATGAATTTCATTCTAATATAAATTTCTCATTATTATGTGCAATGTTGTAGTTTCAAATTATTTACATGTTTATATGTCATTAAACAATACAATTGTATCAACCAATAAACCTATCAATTTATATCCAACATTCTGTCATAATTATGAATTTTCTTTATGAAATAGTTATGTTTCTGGATCCTAAATCAAGACTAATCTGATTTGTTCAAAGAAATGTTTTCCTTTTTGCATGTGAGTCTGTATATATAAAATTATTTAAAGCAAAATCTATATATTCTAATGTTACTCTAAAAGATGACTATTCTAATATAAATTTCATTGTTATGTAATATCTTATATACTAAAGTTTATTTAAGTTCATTTACATATTTATATAATTTTTAATTTTTAAATTTAAATCAGAATTTTCCATTAAACTGGAATCAGGATGATGCAAATGACTGCATTTTCTACCAAAATCATTGAGTATCATTTTCAATAACTTTCCATGCCTTCAAATGTCAATTGGTAGTTACTCATGCTATTAAATATTCCATATAGGACCTTTTTTGCTCTATTTCTCTTCTACAACTTTTTACATGTGAGCAATCTAATGGTTTCCAGCACAGAGGTAGATAGGTAGATTGGTTGAAATGTACCAAGCCTTTAATTTTATAATTTTCATATGCCTCGTCATCAACATACTCTCCATACTCTCATTGTCGTCTACGATCTAAGTTGATAAATTTTCCCGTTTGTTTCACAGAAGTTTGATTATAATTGGATATGTGATAAATACTTGATAAAAGATGTGACATTTATAAAAAAACTTTTTTTCATCATTTTAAATGAAAAAGAGGTATGTATTATTGAACTTTATTTATTCATTGTTCTCAGTTAGTTTGTTCTATTAATTATTTAATCCTTTACTGTTCTAAATATTCATTCGTTATTAATTCTAGATCTCTCTGATTTAGTTTTTTTTTTGAAATGGCACAAGTACAAGCTGTTCAAACTTATGGTCGTAAGGTTTGTAGTAATAATTGATACAGTAACATCAAATAATTTAATTAAAATTTATTAAATTATAAAATTTCTAATTCATCCTTCATAACCTTCATCATCATCATCATTATTTCATTTGTTTTTAGAGAACTGCAACTGCAGTGGCACATTGTAAAGCCGGCAAAGGTTTAATCAAGATCAATGGATCACCATTACATTTAGTTGAACCAGAAATTTTGAGATTCAAAGTCTATGAACCAATTCTAATCCTAGGTCAAGATAAATTTGCTAAAGTTGATATTAGAGTACGTGTAAAAGGTGGTGGTCATACCTCGCAAATCTATGCAATTCGTCAAGCTATTGCAAAGTCTATTGTAGCCTATTATCAAAAGTATGTTGACGAGGCTCAAAAAAAAGAGATTAAAAATACTTTGATTCAGTATGACAGAAGCTTGTTGGTATCTGATCCTCGTCGTTGTGAACCTAAAAAGTTTGGTGGTGTTGGTGCTCGTGCAAGGTTTGTATTATGTTTTTATGATGACTTTTAAAATTATTACATATATATCTATATTATTTTTATATTAATTTATGATATCTTTCATTTTTTTTTTTTAGATACCAAAAATCTTACCGTAAATATATTATAATTGTTATTGTTATTATTTTCTAAATATTAACTAACATTTTTTTCTTTCCCTTCTCATATAAATAGGTTAATCTTTATATATTATGAGAAGGAATTAATCATAGAATTAAAAATCAAGAATAATAACAATAATAATATTTATGAATTAATATCTACATATATATATAAATTATTTTTTATTAATTCAAGTGAATTTCATTATACCAACCAAAAAAATATGTATGTTGCCACGTGAAGTCTATTGATAACTGGATAATTCGTTATTGCATCTTTTGATCAATTATTGCAGTTATCCTCAAACCAACAATATCATTCTTTTATTTGCACTTCATGTGATGTTTAGAAAGCCTATTGCCTAACTTTCAATTTTCATCAATACAATAATATTAAGATATCCTTGAAAAATTTTTTAATGGAAAATTTAGTGTAAAAGAATATAAACATCGAATTGGAGTCCAAAGGTTTTTTCTCGCCTCAAATGTTTAATTGTTGTAAGAACAAGGGGCAAATTTGAAACATAAATTCTTTCCTAGCCATCGCATACATATTCTTTTTAAGGACACATAATACAAGACAAATGGGAGTAAACAAGTGTACTTGAGCATTTGATAGTGTATGCATTACAGCTGATTAAATAATGAAAGATGTATTTGCAAATGTAATTTTTGCCATAAACTCCAGATTCCCATTAATAAAAACAAAAAAATAGTGCTGTTATGGTTCTTAGGAATTAAAATTTTTAATTTTTTTTGTAGCTATATATTTGTTTCCAAAGTTATAAATGGTTTAAATCTTCGATTGTTAAATCGATTTACCTAATTAATTAAAGAGAATTAATTGCCTTTGCATAAACTGTTATAACTCATCATACAGACAAGAATTTTTTTGTTTTGGGCTTGCAGAGCATGCCTCCTATAGTCTCTATAACATAACTGAGCTATATTTTCAAAATTTATCAATTGAAATAATGGAGAGAGAATCTAAACATATATCACTAACAAGTGATTTTTGGACTTCTCATGGCAAATATGGATATTTGGGAATAACTTGTCATATAAATATCAACCACAGGAAGCTTTATCATCATTGGCTCACATCCCATATTCACATACGTCTGAAGTTATTTGTCAGAAATTACAAGAGATAATTACATCTATAAACCAGGAAACCTCATACTTCCATGCATTGCTATCTCAAGATAATAATAAAAGACTTAACTCTAGATTAGCAAAAAAAATTTCTAAAAGACTAAAAAACAATGACAATCTTGATAGTGATGTCAGTGATAACATAATGATTATGATAGATAGTGCTGTCTCACTCTGTGAACCTACCATGGTTAGAAAGTATAAAACATCAAGTCCAATGTTAAATACTTTTATAAACGCTTTTAGGAAAGTTTGTAGTTATAAATACATGCATCATAATTTTATTCTATCAAGATTCAGATGATTATTTCTATGCAACTCAAAGAAATCCATAATTCTGAATTTTTCCATTTATGCATTGAACCTCCAGCTGTAGTGCCATTTTAAGGTATTTTGTTCGTCCCCATTGTTAATATGCTGAGAGATATTTTTATCTTTGGCCACTTCAGCATATGATTTAGGCAATTTACGATGTTGGGCAGGTCTAAATCTACTGTATAATTTTTTCATTTTATTTTCTCTTGAGTTGTTATTGTTTCTGCTGTTATGGTCACATGTGATCAGGTGATCCACATATATGACAAGTTTTGGTATCTTCTCCACACCAATAAAAAGTTGTAATCTTTGGCTGTTGCGTTAAATAAATCTTCATCTGTTTCACAATTCATGTAAGCATATGACAAACCTTGTAATTGTTCGGGTGCAGCAATAATATCATGCAAGTCTCTTGCAGATGTTCCTGTAGGAAAGTCAGAGAGTTTAATACTGTAAATTCTTCTATTATTCCTCTGTTCTTCATTTAATGTTAGGGGAATAACATGAGTAGTCTCTGAGAATATATACAGATCATGTTTTTGTATGAAATTCCTGAACATTTTGGCTTTTTTTGTTCATTTTCTTGAATATGCTTCTAATTTTTGTTTTTTGTCAGGATTTTTTTTTCCTGGAGATCATGTCACTTATGTCACTTTTGTCATTTTGTTTTTTAATTGACGATATGTCTATGAATCCGTGAAATAAGTAAATAGTGATTGGCGGGGGAAAATTGATGAAAAAAACACCAATTGGTAACCTTTTATAAAAAAAGTTACTATACTTTTGTCTCGCAAGATAAAATTTTTGTGTGTACATTAATAAAATAAATCTCAGAGAACATATTTATGTATTTTTTATTGGCTTTAATTATGTAAAAAAAAATATTTTCTCTTTGTGATGTGTTGATTTTTAGAATTTTGTTATTGAGAAAAATCTGATTTTTTTATTATTTCTTATGTTGATATATTATAAATAAAAAAAATGCTTGTAATATGTATTTATGCTTTATCTATCTATGTTTCGTTCTATGTCCGACCAGAGTCACTCTCTAATAAATTGATAAATAAATCAAAAATATCAACAAAAACTTTGTTAATATCAAAAATAAAGGCAGAAACTCGTGTCATTAAATTGATTCATTAGAAATCCCCAGATAAATAATTTTTGTAGATTGAATGCAAAAATCATATTATTTAATTAAAAATTGTTTTTTCAAGATTCATACTTTTTTTATGATCTTTTTGATTTTTTTATCTATCATTTAATATGAAATTTCCCCCGTATTTTATAGTTGGCTTGGTCTAAAGACCCCCCTAAATTTTGGGCAAATTTTAAAAGTATAGAAGTCACTTTCTGTCCTACCTTTTAAAAAAATAACTCTATTAGTTGATAGATATGTCTTTAATTTTAATGTAATAGAAAGATTTTCTCAAAAAAATTATTTATTGTAGAGTTCTATTCTTTTTTAAAACATGTGCTTTACTATGCTCGCGAGGAACTTGTCCATTATGATCATTTCTAAATTTAGGAAAACTATTACTAAATTTAGACTAGCCACGACTATACATGAAGTCGAAATAGGGTCGAAACTGATTTTTACTATGTAGTTGCCTCAAGTCGAAACATTTTGACTTTGGGGTTTTAATTTCGACTTCATGTATAGCCATGACTATTGGATCTAAATTTGGCAGTAAGAAAACTAAAATCACGTGAAATCCTATTTTTTTGAAAAAATTTATTATATATACATTTTTGAACGAATTACAAAATTACTATATAAAATAAAAATAAATTAATATTTCATCTTAAAATATGATTATATTTTATATTATATATACCTCAGGCAGAGACGGTGGTGAAGATGCTCTTGATAACGATGATGTTATCGATGGTGGTGATGACCTCTATAAATATATGTAAAAAAAAAAAAACTAAATAAAATATTATGTCTAATATTAATGTTTCGATTTATACTTACATTATTCTTTCGAGATCGTTTTTTTCTTAACGGCCCACTGATATCGTAATTTATTCGTCTCCTCGTTCTGAAGTTATAATTCATCTGTATGATTTTTAAAAACAAAGGCATAAATAAGTTGACAAAAAAAATAAAAATAAATTGACAGAAAAGTTTGTTAAATGATTTCTTCTTTTAAACCACCAACCTCTGGTGATGGTAGAGAATATAGAGGTTGTTGATAGTTTTGTTGAATTGTTGGAGTAGTGTTAGTTATTGATGATGATGATGATGAAGGAGTGGCATTATTGTATTGATAATTGTTATTATTAGCAGCATCATTATTGTTATTATTGTCATTACTTGAGTTGTTATTTCTATCAATACCCGTATTACTATTGCTATCACTAATATTGATTAAAATATTGTCGTTTCTACCATACGATATTAAAGATTCATCGTCTCTGATACTGTCATTGTTGAAGCTGGTATCCAAAGCTTCTATATCTCTATCGAAATTAAAATGATTATCCAAAGCTTCCGTGGTTCTCGAGAGCAAATTGTCCAAATGATTTAAAATGTCATTTTGTTCTAGAAGCTCGTTTATTAACGATTCCTCAGCTTCGTATTCTTCGCAAAGCTTCAACATAATGCACTTTTTCAGATTCTTTATTTTATTACAGAAATTAATGTTAGTTTTAAATTCTATAATTGAAAGACTAACTTCACTAAAAACAAAATAATCTATTTGATAACAAACCTGGAACGAAGACGAGCTAGAATGTTTGAAACAAAAATTTTTTCCATTATTATAAATTAGAACTAGAATGATAACAAGTGGTGGCGGGCGATAATCACCACCACTATCCTTAAAACACTTACCCAGTGATGTCTTTTTCTCTGCCTTGTCTGGTTCTTTTGTTGGTGTATTTCTTTTGTGGCATTTTGTAACAAAGAAAAGAAAAAAAGTTTATGAATTAATCGACGCGTAGCACAATTAATCCCAATTGGTTTTTTTTTGGTAGGACAGACGCGAATTGATTTTTTTTTCTTTTTCTTGGAAAAACAATTTATTTTTTGACAGAGTCCAAGGTGACAAAACGTGAGTGTTGTTGTTTGGTTTGGTTTGGGTCTCCTAAAGAAAACGTGTTAATAATAGAGGTACTATTTTTTACTTGTATTGATTGGTATTTTTATTTTTAATTGGAATCAAAATGCGGAGCAGATCATTGCTGGGGTAATTACAAGATTTTCATTGATAATATTCTTCTTTTCATAATCCATAATATTAATAATATTATAAATATTATAATCACAAGATGTCAAGGCAGCATACTGTTGAAAAAGAGACATTTTGAGTATGCGACGTTTGATTATCGGAAATTGGCAAGTGTTGAAGCACACACGCTACCTTAAACACTTTACAGTCATTCTCACATCTTCCTCGTGTACATAAGGCTAATCTGACTAGTGTCTCCCGATGATACAACGATGCTACAGAATTCCAGGGGGGGGTGGACATGTCCTGGAGTTTACCAAGACTGCATCAATCGTCAATGACACTTTCACTAATCTTCCCTCACCAGAGATGGCTGCTGCCATGTTGGATGAAAAGTCGACTGCAACGATCCTGCCTCTAGGGCAAGGATGGCACTGTGACCAAGTCGCAACTCTGCAGATGAATTGTAGTGCCATGTAAATATCCGGATCCATCGAAGCAATGAGAATCTGCAATTCGTTTCAAGCACAGGAGGTCACAATTCAGAGCAGGGTTGATGGCCCTGAAATTGCATTTGGACTCTGATGCTAAGAGGGAAGTTGTAAAATAGTGTTTGTTTTGTATAATCACTTTCATAAATGCTCTGTTTCTCTGATACTTGCTAACCGATTTATGATTTTGGATAGGGGATTGAAATGGGTTTTTGCCCAATCAGTTCCCCGTCCTGTAGGTTAAAATTATCACATGATTATATACATCCTTGTCAGCAATATGGCCGACAAGAAAAAAGCCATAAAATGGTTCGGATTTTGTTTGGTATGTTTTGTTATAAATTAATCATTTTCCCAAATTCTCTGCTTCTCTTTAATTTTTATTTGGCCAACTGAATTTGTTTTTCGAATGGGGGTAGGGTTGTTGGTGAGTAGGCGTGCCACTGACAAGACAGGGGACGCCTTTGGGATATACCAGCCAAACTCATAGAAAGGGATCTTTTGTCCAGACTTAGGGTCACATGGATGTTAAGCACAGAAAATGTACACTATCAATGTATATTTTTTTCAACAAAATAAACATTTAAATAATTAATTGTTAAATATTAATACTTTTCTTTTTATAAAATTACAGTAACCCAGGACTCAAAACTCTGAATTCAGGGAAAATCCAAAGCAGCAATCCAGGTTGCAACCTCCCGAGTTGCAGAATTTTCAACCAGTTGCAGGTGCCAACTTTTATGCTAGTGTGGCAATAACACAAATCAATCATCACACAAGCACCAAGCTATCAGTAGGGTTTATATTCATGGATACACTAGCTATCAGTGATCAATGCCCATATGGTGACAGCCGGCCTGGTCTGAGGGGAGGATAAGGAAAAGTTTTGTCCAAAGCCTTCCAACTTGTTCAAGATACTTTCACCTGTGGGAAAAAATTCCATGGTGCTGGATTGATGCTTTGCACGGAGTTTGCTTGCTGGTGATAGGAAATTTCAATTAAATCTGACACCTGTGATCAACATCAGATTTATCATTCATAATGAACCATAATTGATAATCAGGAAAAATAATTTATTTTGTGAATCCAGAAATCTGGGTAGACACACATTATTAAAAGTTTCATTTATGCATGGCCTTGGTATCATTACTACTTGGGTGATGCAATTGTTTGTTATGTCAATGATGATATTAAATGTATTGAATAATAATCATGACCATCATGAATATTTATTGGATGGAGGCATTCACATACAAGGAAATGATTAAATAGCTAAGTCATGTTTGTTTTATTAAAGATGTATGATTAATTGTATTTAAAATATACAATAAAAAAATTGCATGGAAACCAAGACTGCACCACTATGTCAATCAAGCCATCAAGCTGTTATGGTTTCTAATTTAGGATCCCATCTTTCTTTGCTTATATATAATCTATTGGTTCTCTTTTTACTGGTCGAATGATGCCAAATTGGATAATGGGGTATCAGAAATATCAGAATCTGATTATTCTTTAAAAAAATAATCAAGGTATTAGCATACTGATAAGTTAATAATATTTTTATCATATAGTCTAAAAGCCTATTAGTAAATATTGAAAATGCCAATATTTATCAGATATTCTTTTAAAATTAATCCTTTTTTTAATTAATTATTGGCTTAGTTTAATAAACCAATAGCTCTTTATATTGTAATTAAGTTATTGGTTAACTATTTCTAAAGCTCTTTGTACTAATAATATCATAATCTTGAGCAGTAGTTAGGGTTTTCTATTCAAATTTTATTTGAATAAAACAAATAATTCGAGTGAATAAAACAAAATAAAACGAATAAACCAAAATAAAATGAATAAAAGCAAATAAAATGAATAAAACAAATAAAAGCAAATAAAACAAATAAAACGAATAATAATTCAAATAAAAGCATATAAAGCATATAAAGCGAAGCTTGTATTATGAATAGAAACTGTGCATTAATACTAAAATCAAAAAACAACAATAAATAAACAAATAAATAGCTTTTATTATGAAATAATTAATTTTGTTCCATTGGTGTTAATGATTGAATTTATCACACAAGTAAGGTTGCTTGCCAAAACTCATCCAGAAATCAATCAGCAGGATTTCAGCAGGTTACACATTAATTGTTTATTAGAGTTTCAGCAGAGTTTCGCATTTTGAGGTTTTGCCTTTCAGCATAGTTTCAACAGGATTTTGATAAGATTTAATATAGTTTTGCCGTGGTTTCAGCAATTACTAAGGAGATTTCGCCCACAACCTTACACACAAGCAGTAGTCAATTTAAACAGTGTTGTTTTTAAAGAATTTATTCAAAATATTTATTTTAAATGTATTAAGTTTAATGATTTTTAATGTTGCAAAAATTTTTTTGATACATCAATCTCAGTCCATATTTATATACTTTAACGTTTTTTTATTTCTTTTTTTGATAAATAATAAATTTATCCATTTGTTTATTTGTTTTAGTAGATTCAAATAGATTTTATTAGAACAAATGGTATACTACAGCAAATTTCAGAGAATCAATAATGCAAAATCACACATAATAAGTGTATAAGGATTGTAGCCTAGGTCCTGTAGAACATGCATGCAAAATTTTCATGTTTTCTGATTTTTGCTATGTCATTATTATTATTAAAAAATTTAAATTTGATTATTTCAAAGAAAAATTAAAATATTTATAGGGCCTAGTACTAGGCTACAAACCACAGTCAACCTGTTATTCTGTTTAAAATTAGTATTAGTATTTAGGTTTAACAAATTTGGTTTAACGGGGTGGATTTACTGTTTCTTTGATTTATGTTAACTAAAATAAAAAAAATCTATTTTACTGTTTTTAGAAATAAACAATAATTCTATCTTGTTTTATCTGTTATAGTATGATCAAATAAATTTTATTTCCAATTAGACATTTTTAAAAAATATAAGATCATCATTAATTATATTCTAATTTTTTCTCTTTTTAAATATATGTACGTACCAACAATTAATTCAATTAAAACTATTTATTAGATTTGGTGGTGGTTGCTACACAGTGAGGGAGGATATCAAGCAAGAATGTAAGGCATTCGATTATAAAAATTTTTTACTATGTAAATTCAAATTTTACTATCATCTACTATTACTTTAGATCTGCAGCGACCAGTGATTTTTTTTAATTGCTTTTTTAGGAATAATAAATAAAGTTTATTTATAATTGTAAATATGTATAGTTGTAACAATTTACTTTGTAATCATATACAACGTCTTGTGTAGTACATCTGGAAACATGACACAAAATTAATCATTATTTGTGACATCAATTATTTTGTGTCTTTATTTATTATTTATTATTTACTATTTATCTATGTCCACAAATCTTCTGGATAGATTGATAAGAATTATTATGATTATTTTATTTATATTTTATCAATCTTTTATTATTATTTATATTTTATTTATATCATATCAATCTATGTAATTTTATTATATAAAGGACATCATTTTTAAGATAATAAAGATAACTTGTATTTTTACAATAATTAAAGTACCTGTTCGACAAACGTGTTATAATATTGTTTTTATTTTTGTTAAGAAAAGTAATTCTTACACAAAATTGCATTTATTTTTTTATAATTATTGTTCATCTACATAAATGTGTAATGGTGCTAGAGTTTCCAGCTGCTCTAGAGAGTATCAAGCTTTTCAATTAATAATACTAATGACAAGCATGACACTTCTTTCGCATATGATCAATTTGTACAATAATGTTCATCTTGTGGCTTCTTCACTAGTGTTCCATGTTGCAATCCAAAAAAGGAAACAAAGTGGTCGCAAAGGTGGTTGCAACCAGGTGTCACAAACCATTTTTATATGTTGCAAATATGGTTGCAACCATCACCAAGAATTGCGACCAGCATCTATATTCTTCACCCATAAAGTCCACATTCTCCATTAATCATAAATTAAAAATAAAGAATTCATAGAATACATCAATTTGTTACCTGAAACTTGGATAAAAGTTTCATCAGAAAACAGGCTCTGTGTGTATTCATTTTCTTTCCTTTTTTTTTTTTGGCATTTATGTAATCATTAATTTCACACATAATGATGAATAATATTACATTCTTTCATTAGTTCATGCCTCTTAATTAATATTGTGTAACTTTATGAAGAAGCTGAAGATAATGCTTTTGATACCAGTAATACATTTAATGATACAAGGGAAAACTTTGAAAATAATAGAAATATTACCAAGAGATATGTAATAATAATAAAAAATCCAAAACTTGAATTATTTTAATGATGGAAATTATAGATGCTACCCACCACCCAAGTTAGCCCAAATCCCAAACTACTTTGGACATACTTTAAAATAAAAAATTTTTTAATAACATCCAAAATTTTTAATAAAAAAAAAAGATTACTCATTATCACCATTAACATCCCTCTTGATTGTACATTGTTTACAATTGATTATATATCAAATTCTGGATTTCCATCTTCAACAACTTTATACAACAGAAACTTCAATTTCTAAAACACATTAGAGTTCCTGGTCATCCACATCTATTAATTCCTCAAATGCTAAATGATTTTGATTTATTTGAGATGCAGTCATCATTATTATCATCATCATCATCATTTGAGTCAAAATATCAAAAGGGAGGTGTGATTGAATTATTACTTGTTTCATTTAATTCTTGATAAACATTTTTAATTTCATCTTTTGTATTGGAAACATAACATGAATGCATATGTGCCATAGTGAACAGTTTGACTGAAAATGAATAATAGTAAATAACTTTATTTATATAAATATGATATTCAAAATAATTATCTAGTACATCTCTTATTCATGTATCATCCTAAAACCAAAAATATCCTTTCACAACTAGTGTTGTGAGGAGATATTGCTAAATTTTTAAATGTGATTGTTTTGTTGTTTGCACATAATCCACCAGATTTTTACAGAATGTAATTCAAGAACAATTCAAAATCATATGATTGAACTTTTAATGAATAATTTGACAATTGTGCAACTATTCATTAGCAGAAGTATCACCACCATCAAGAGCCTTCCAAATCCAAGGTGTTTTATATATTATTCAAAAAGTATTAGTGATCCTTTGTCTAAATTGGATATTGTTCAATTAGATTTAATTGTAATTTTTTTTTAATTTACATTATATAATATTATAATATTATACTATCAAACTCATTCCAACATTTATCAAATGAATTGACATTTTCTTTGAAGAGAATAATATCTACACCTTAATAATTGCTGCCAATTAGTGTTATGAGCTTTTCAACCACTCTTGTTCGTTCCTATGGCAAAGAGCATTCCAATCTTGGGATATATGTTGTGCTTGGACGCCCTCCTATATGTTATATAATCACATGATATTCAGTCCCTTGGTTTATCAGATATCAAAACTTTAATAAAAACGCGTAGATTTAAAAAAAAAAATTTTATAATGTCAGCAAACAATACATTTAAAACTTTTCAACAACTTTCTCAACAGGTATCTGTACCAATAACTACTGATACTAATGATAACAATAAAAATCTACAACAACAACAAAAACAAGATATTCCTACTGCCAAACAAATACTTCTCAATATTAGAATTCAAGAAAAACAAAAAGAATATGAAAATTTATTAAAGATGAAGAAAACTTCAGAAGAATTGGCAGAATATTTTGATCAATTGGCTTTACAAATTCAACAGTTAAATGAAGGATGTGAAGGTATTTACAACATACATACTACATGTGTACGTGTTTTTATATAAACGCATGTAACATTCATTATTATTATATAGTTATCGGTAATGTGCTTCGTAATTGGCAGAATGTATTTAACTTTGTTCAACCCGGTAAAATTGTTTTCTCTTTCTTTCTAACTTACAACATTATAATAATAAATAATTTTAAGGTCTAACATATATAAATAAAAAATTTTTTTTAATAAGAAAATATTACAGCTCAAAACTATTCAAAGATCACTTTAAAGAAATCTGATTCTTTTAATAATGACATTTTTAATGTATAATTCTATTTACATTTAAATGAATAGAACAAATAATACTAATAAAAGATCGATTATACAAAGATGAAATAAATATATATATGTATAAGAGAACTTGATAATAAATTAAAATTTTAAAATCTCAATTTAGTAAAAAACATTTGCCTTTCCTGATTTATATCTTGTTTATAAAGTTTTCTTTAAAGCTTTTTAGTTGATAATCATTGATTTGGTTCTTTGAAGCATTCATCATTAACAAATCATTTGATATCATCCAATTCAAAGGTATATCTGATTGGCATTAAATGACTATAATTGAAAGGTACAACTTTAAAACATTTGGCAATATATTTTAGCACCAATATGTTTTGTCACTTTTAATCTATTCCATATGCTATAGGATGGCCACAGAATATTTCATAGTACCTTCATCAAGGTTTTTTACAATCAATCATCCAGAATATTTACCAGATGCAACTTTGCATGGTTTCAAGAATTTTACCATTATGATTTATAATTTATAGATGAATATCATCTTTATTTTAAATTTGAAAAAAATAATTAATGATAAATTTGTAAACAATAAAAAAATTATGAATAATACAATTCAAGATTCATTCCATCATTAATTTCATCTAAAAAATAAAAATAAATTATTATTATTATTATATGTAAACATATCAACATAAATCATTAATAATGATGATAATTACAATCTTCCAATGTGATATGATTTTTAAAAGTTGTATACCTAAACAATCATCAACAATTGTAAATAATTTATTAATAAATTATTAAAAGTAACAATGATAAATAAAAAATTACTTTACCATTTTTTTAAAATAATTCTTGAAGGATCAGTGCCAGTTTGGGCTGAAATTAATTTCTTTAATTCACCAACCGTGTCTGTTGGACTAAAACCAAACATTAACATCAATGAAACAACAACGATGAAGTTAAAATTTAAGGTTCATTATTAATATTAATATTGTCATTAATATTATTATATACATACTTGCATTTTACACGAACTTTTTTACCTAATCTATCATTACAAATAATCTCAATCATCTCAAAATATATTAATTAAATAAAAAGTCAATATTAATAATATATTAATATATAACAGAAAGCTCGGTGGGTGACCTGCAACAATTCTAATTATAGTCATACGTATTACCAAATAATATCATCAAAAATTGCCAATTATGGCTAAGAATCGAAAGCCATATTAATATATGGAAAATTGCAAAAAAAAAACTTATTTTTTGACCCAAGCAATAATGTGAAGTTGTTTTTTTTTCAATTTTATTAATAAAAAAAGAAAATTATATTTACAGGATACAGATGTCACATGAAATTTTCAAAGTAGCTAAATGCCGATCATTTAAAAAAATTTCTCATCACCGATTATTGTTTGATTGATCCGGGTGCTGAAGATTTTTACCGGATAATATAATATATCAAGTAATAACAATTGCATCCAAAAGAAATTTACCATGGCCATACAATCGAAAAAGAGGTTCCAAAAAATCCATGGATCCAATTGAGATTATTAATAGTGACTGAACCATATCTAAAAATGCACTACGTAAAATGAATATATCCAAAGCACCTGACGTTGTGGTAAATTGTAGCGTAAAAATACGTGGTGGTAATTCTTCCACAACTAATTATATTTCACGCTCACGAGATAATTACAAATCCAACATTCGGCGGATATTCGGTGAATAATCGAGTAATCACATATTATCCGAGCGTTGGATTTTATTGATTGCCCAAGCACTCAAACACCCAGATAATCGACGGATACAATCACTACATATTGATATACAGTTATGAATTTTCTTAACATTAGTTTTTAAAAATCTAATTCATCCAAAAGTTGAAGATTGCGATTCCAATTGGGGGTTTTTTTAGCCAGAGAAAATATTTATATATTAGAAACAAATTTGGGTTCTTAAAGCTACGAACAAATTTAAAAAAATAAAAAGTTCATCCAAACTAGTTAAGAACTGATGAAGTCACATGCATTCAAAAAAAAATACGATCAGAAAAATTATAATACCTAGTAGGATATCCTTTACTTACATGGAATGCTATTTAAATAGTTCAAATCTAGGTTATACCATTCTTCTTCTAATATATTAAAAAATTCATCTTTATTTTTAGTCTTCGTCTTATTCTAAGTTTTCCTTCAATGAACCAAATTGAATGACTGTCAAATGCCACTTTTTTTGAATACGTGTGACTTCATCAGTTCTTAGCGAGATTTTTCCAATTTGTTCGTAAAAACATTCTAGATTTTTTAAAAATACTAATGTTAAAAGATGAGTTAAAACCCATAATTATGCATTTTGAGCAACTTTTTTACTAGTGCATCAAGATTAGAAAAGTGAAATGAAAATTTAAAATGATCAATATTTTAGTGTACAAGTTTGATTGACTTTGGGAATATGAAATTAAAATTCAATATATATAACTTTGTTACAAAAAACAATGGCTAAATTACTATTAATTTGTATCCCGAAAAGCCTATTTTATTATTTCAAAATAAGTTGCTCTGATGTAAATCTCCGGGATTTTGACCGGATAATTCACCATTTTTAAAAGTTAAAGATTATTTGCTTATCATATATTTTTTTTTTTTATCCTTATTATATGAAAATATTCATGGTGTACTATTATTAGTAGTAGTATCTGAACCTTCCATTGATGAAGAATTGGTTATGTCTTTAAATGCTTCTTGATAGTGGTAGAGGCAAGCATTTCCGATACCCCCAGTATTTACAGATATAACTAAATGATATAATATATTTAGTATTATATATATTATATAAATAAAAATACATTCATTATATATAAATTTTTTGATGAACCACCACCCACTTATTAAAATAAAAGCCCAGGTTGGTGCATCTGGCGAATATATTTTATAAAGATATCTTGGTAATGTAGGAATCCATCTAAAATTATTATTATTATTATTATTATTATTACATGTAAATTGATTTTTAAACTTATTAGTTTTAAATATTTGTCCTTTACTTACTGAAGAATAAAAATTAAAATATAGCCAGCTATTTTTTTAGATACATGCGCACGTATTGTTATTTGTCTTTGACCATTTAATAATTTTTGATCTATACTATTAATTTTATAAATTATGCATCCATAGCAAAATGATGATGTGAGTAAGGCTACTACCAAGATGATGGTTGTAGAAATTGCATTACCACCTTTAATAGGTCTAGACGAACACCTATTGAATTAATTAACATTAAGTAATCAAACAAAAATTAAAGGATGTAACGGGTAAAAATTAATAATAATAATTAATTACCAAAATGTGTCAGGACCAACCTTCTTAATACCTGTGGCTGCAATAGCTAGACTTATTATCAATACTGTTAATAATAATTTCCAATCATATCTTCCTAAACTTGGATTTTTCTTTAAACATATTCTTTATAAAATGTATAAAAATAAAACCATCATTATTATTATAAATATATTAAAAAAAAATAGGTGTGAGAATTTCAGAATGCTATATATTCTGATAAATGGGAAGAATGATGTCAGAATTTCATAATTTTTGGTACTAATTAGGAAAATTTTTGCCTTTAGCATGTTATCTTTTATATATATATATATAATTTTAAATATGTCTATTTAATTGTTTTAAGTAAAAGTGACAGGCTAGCTTTAAATTAACAATAGGTTAATTGGGGCAGAATTACGTGTAAAAAATTTGTAAATATTTAATGATGCATTATATAAATAAACGTGGTTTCAAGGCCTCCTCACTTTAGCAAAAAAAAAAAAAAATCAATTAAATAAAGTCAACTCAATTTACCTTATATAAGTGTTTATTGAAACCGCGACTACCAATAGAATATTCAAAAGCATAAATAAGAATATAAACGCTCCAAAAACTTCACATGCAAGTCCTGGCCAAAGTTCACGATAAATTGTCAAACGATACTTTTATTTTAACAAACAAACAAATGAAATTGTTATTAGTATTATTAGTAAATAAAAGTAATGAGTGCTATTATTATAGATAGCACTTACAACTTGTGGAAATACATCTGTTAATAATAAGAAATTGCTACACGCGATATAAAATGGAACCTTCAATGACATTGAGAGTGATTTTACTTTTCTCTGATATATAAAAGTCCAATAAAATACATAAAGAACACCTAATAACAAATAAATTTTTTTGTTTTAATTTTATATTCTGAAAATTCATCATCACTTTAATTTAATTTTTTTACCTAGCAAGTTTAAATGCGTAAATATTAATGCTGTTATTATACAAACATAATAGCCCACAGGGTCATTATTTGGATAAGTTTTTTGATCATCTTGTGAAAAAACAAAATCTATATTACAAAAAAATAAAAGAATAAAAAAATGACTTTTCATTTTTTGATTTTTTTTTCTTTAAAAAAAAAAAATCGGAGAAAAAATTTGATTCATATTATTATGGTATTACTATAATTACACTAGATTTACTGTTTTAAAGTTAATAACTTTTAATTTAACGCGCCGTCGATAGCGGAGATTGTATAATTGGTAATGATTTTCATCGATCATATTTTGATTTTATCACGCAAAAATAAATTACATGAAATTTTTAAATACTATCGTTATTAATAGATAAATGTATAAATAAATATTATCCAAAACTATTAATTTAAAATTCTTGACATTCATGTATAGTAATATTAATGAACCAATGACTGAAAATAATAAATCTTGTAAAATTTATTATTATAGAAATTTCGAAATTTTTAGATCTCATTTAGATTTTGCGGGGTTAATGGGATTATTTTTAACTATATATTAATATAAAAATAATTTTTTGTTTCTATTTTAAATTAATTGAATTTGATCATAAAAATCAACAATCGATTTTGTCACATGTGACAATTCAAATGTCCGCCATGCTAAATACAGTCATACCTCCATAAATGCACCCGGAAGGACAACATTCATCTATGGAAATGTGCATTTATGGATAGGAGCGCTTTCATTGGTTGCACGTGATACACAATATTTTAAATACAACAATACTAATACTATCCGTTTTTATGAATTTACATTTTTTACATGATATATATTAACCAATTTTATTTGTTTGTTAGTATTTTCTTTCTGTAATAAAAACGCACGTACAGTTTCAAGGCCTTTAATGCTTCTTTGAGGCTTATTTTCATCTTCTCAAAATTGTCAGCAGGTACATTCATTTTTTTTATTATTATATATTTCTGCAAGTTCTTTAATATTTTATCATCCTCTGGAACCTCACAGACAATATTTTCTTAGGGATATTCAAAATTCATTGATTTGCATTTTATCAAATAGGATAAAAGTTCATTTAGTGACACAAAGTCATGAAATTCAATTGGATTATTACATATTGGAAATTATCCAATCCCAATCAAATCAAAAAATTTTGCCGAAATTTATCCTATCTATATATATATTAGTTACATGATGAATTTTATACATTGGTCACGTGGGGTGCATTTATGGAGAGAGTTTTCATGAGATTGGACTGAAAAGATACCGCACAGTGCAGAGCATGGAGGGTGTGTATTTATGGAAGGTGCATTTATGGAGGTCTGACTGTAATATTAAATTACGTAAAACTGTGCCCAAACAAGATTAATAAAATTTGTGGCTTTGCAGAATATTTTTATAGCACAACAATTTTAAGCCACAATCGAAATCCTTTATAACTAACGCGCGTGTTAACAAAGAGAAAATAATAAAATAAAATGAATCCCAGTCCGTATGTTTTTGTTGTAGAAAATAATAATTGGTAATAATTTCAGTAATTCCAATAATTATAGTTCACCATCATTAATATATATTAATATCATTACCATGTTATTACTATTATTATTAGGCCATCATGTTATCCAATAATTTATCATGATATTGATGTAGATATAAGTGATAAAAGAGGACAACAACTTTTAAAGAGATCGTATTTTTTATTTAAATGTAATATAATCAACAAATTCTTCATGATGTGTGATTTGCTGGAAAAAAAATAATTCTAATAATAAAACAATTGATTTTTTCTTTAAAGTGTATTTCTTTACATTATTATCTCATATTTTTGCAAATGTTACACTTGCAATAATTCATTTGGATGGATTCTCGATAGCAGGGGAGGTTACAGCTTCAGTAATTTATTTAATATTAATACCAATTGGTGATTTCTTTGCTCGTCATTTAAGTCTCTATAATGGATACAGGTAATTTAATTAATTACTTTATCTAATTATCTAATTAACTTAAAGTTATTATTAACAATTAATTATTATTACTATATTACTAATCAAATTGTTTAGATATCAAAGCAAAGTAAATTTTATTTTTTATTTTTTAGGTGAACTTATTGTAATTTTATTTGGTGTTTTTATAAGTTTGGGGGCATTAAGTAATGGAAGCAGTGGTGTGCTTGGTATTGTATATTTGATTGATCAAAAGTACTACGTTGCATCAGCCTTTACAATAATTTTTCTTACAATGGTTTTAATTCAAACAATCTTACATATTATTTTAACAATTCAAGTAAATATCAAATTGCATTATAGTTATTATTTCAATATAATAACTATAACTAACGTATAGTTGGTTTTATTATTTAGGTTTATAATCATTACAAAAGTTTGGAATCAAATTCATTTTTTTCACTTAATAATAACGTTGGTAGTGGTAATGATGGTAGTAGTGGTTTCATAATTGTTGGAAGCGTCATTAACAATCCCAATCCTAATACTGGTGGTCGTGATGGCTTTACCACTGCTGGTTACACGCTTGGCAGTGGTCGTCGTGTTAGTAGCGGAAATTAACGATTAATTCGTAAAAGTAAGTGTACCCTGCAATTAGTAAAGTTGGGGATCATCATCATTAAACCTAAAATTCGTTTACTAACATTAATAATGATGATAGATATATTAAGTAATGTAATACAAAATACCTCAAACTTTAAATATATTAACCTTTGATTAATGTGTATCGGTGTTGACAATCGTACATTCGAAGATAGTAGTAATAGCAATAGAGTGCGAAATTCCTTTTAATTGTCTAATTTCATTTTCATACATCAAAATATGTGAATTTCAAATAGACTATATAAAATAACTTTTAAAGAATAGTTTTTATTACTTTTTTAAAAACAATATAATACATTTATATACAGTATATATAAAGCTCTAATATTTTTGGTGTAACCGATTTATTATCCCGTCCAGGATTATGCCCTGATGCTTTTTTTTTCATAATTTTTGGGCAAATTCCGACCAAAAATTAATATTCAGAAAAATTAAAATACATAAAATTTAATTTTTCTTTTAAAGCTGTGCGTTTATCAGTTAATATACCAATAGTTATACTAATCATTTTATTTTTTATTAAATTTTTTAATTTCTGTACTTCAAATTCATAACTCATTGCAAATATTTTTCTCAAAGTTGATTTGAACCTACAATATAACCTCCTAGGAAATAATAAAAATAAAAATTACATTAAAATATTCAAATTAATTTATTTTAATTTTTTTTGATATGAAAATTTTCTTACCATTCTTACAATATGAATTAAAAAAAGTCTTTAATTTATCCAGAGGAATATCAGCTTTAGTAAATGCTTCAATAATTGCAATATTGATTTTGTCATGATTATTATTAGTGAAAGAAAGCAAAGAGCTTTGTAAAGGTTGTGGATTATTTTTATATTTTTGTTCAGCAGCTTTATGTTTCGTTGATTCTATATGGTTATCAACAATTGATTTTTTTTCATGATTTATAGTATGGTTACAAAAATGACAATATTTTTCCCAGTTTCAACGTAAAAAATGATTATTATAATGACTTTTTTTCCTCAAACGTTCTATGGTTGGCTCGTTCTAAAGACCTCCTATTGCTGCGACATGCGGCCAAATTTCAAAATAGTAATTTTGTAATTCGTTTCAAAAATGTAATAAAATTTTTCAAAAAATAGGACTTCACGTGATTTTGGTTTTTCTTACTGCCAAATTTAGATACGATGGTCAAGAGCTAGTCTAAATTTGGTAATGTTTTTCCTAAATTTAGAAATGATCATAGTGGACAAATTCCTCGCGGGCATAGTAAAGTACATGTTTTAAAAAAGAATAGAACTCTACAACAAATAATTTTTTTGAGAAAATCTCTCTATTACATTAAAACTAAAGACATATTCTATCAACTAATAAAGCTATTTTTTTAAAAGGTAGGACAGAAAGTGACTTCTATACTTTTAAAATTTGCCCAAAATTTAGGAGGTCTTTAGACCAAGCCAACTATATTGCATAATCATCACCGATCACTTACATAAAAGTAAATTATACGCGTAGATTATGTGATTATGCCAAAAAATGGTCAAAAATTAAGAAGTATGCAGCGATTTATACGAAAGCATAATCCTGGACACCCTATCCCGTGGAATGCCTATCCACCAAAAAAACGGCATGAATAGATGAAGAAGATCCACTACATCCATTGGCTGTATAGATCATTTCATAACCTGAACGTTTGCAAAATTTAGTTTCAACAAATCAAAGAGATGTAATAGTCAATCTGGCAAAATTCACTCGACAAGAAACTGTGTTTACCGGCTAATAGCTTTATGCAACAGAATTTCAATTTCTTTCGGTTTCCTTATTTTTTAAAAAAAAGACTTATTGTGGCTGTTGATCGGATCATATATGTATTCCAACACATGTAAATAGAAATTTATGGTAAATTTAGTAATAATCGAATAACTTTAAATCGTGATGACCTTTTTTTATTTCATAATAAAATTGAAACAAAACTTTTCATAGTTTATTGTTCAAGTCTTATATAATAAAGTTACAGGCTTTTCGCCCTAGCCTATTTGGTTACAAAGTTTATCTATTAACGATTTTTTCAATGTGCTATACTGTATATACATATAAATTTTTTTTATTTAGCAAGAAAAAAACTCACTGTAATCTAAAAGCTTAACCTATTTACTCTAAAATTTCCCTTGGTTCATGTTTGTCTGATACAGTTTTTATTCTATTTTTTAAAGATAAAAAAATCTATCAATCTTTTTCTGACAACTGGGGTGTCAATTTTTAAAGGTCTTTTGAAGAAAGCCTGTTTGTTTAAAGTCGCTTCTTCAGGATAAAGAGTATTCAAACTGTTCGTATTATTAACATACTCATTAAAGTTTCAAAATCACATGGATGTTAGGCAGATTATTATAATTTTCACCCTTTAATTCCCACGTTTCTTCTATTGTTGATGTTGTTTTTAGACAATGGCGTTGATAAGGGTTTGGTTATGTTGATGAGCTGGCCACCTTTCTTTGAGGAGAAAAATCATTTTCTTTATTTTATATGCTGAGCTAACATTATTTTCACGTATTAACAATCTCCAAATGTACTAGGAAATTTATCCGCTAAATCGAGATACCGTTAAATCAAAATTTTGAATATAAGAAATTTCACTTTTTTAATCTTGACAACCTGCATTACAAATGTTAATAAAAAAAAATAAAGAAAATTGATTATAAATTATGATGTTATAGTAGCATCCAATTTTTAGCCCGCATCATTCTCACAATGTTATATAGCTGTTTATTTGCACGTACATGAATTAACAATACGTTATTATAACATATTATCATACATTATATATAATAATATATTAAACTATTAATCGTGCGTTATTACGATGCAATTTATCTTATAAAAATTAGAATGGCCAAAAAGAGCAAGAATCATCTATCAACGAAGCAGAAGCATGTATTACTGCATATACATAATAATAAGTCAACTATTCATATCTGGTTTAGAGCAACAATTAGATTCCTATAATCTATGATTTGAGATGGGCTACAATACAAAAAACATTTATTATTGTTTCTTTAATTTCATTATAACCCCCGATATGGGTTTTTTCAAAAACAGCAAATCTCAGAATCAATGACTCTTTATTTGATCGGCTAACTAAATGAAAAAAAAGAATATTTATTTAAAGACGTGATTTTTCTTTCATCTTAAAATTATCTCATTACAAATGAGTAAGTTTCCAATGGGTCACAGAGTCATTCATTATATTGAGTTTCAATAAAATTTGTTCCGATAGCAATATCTGCCACTAATTAAATTTGTTTCTAATAACCAACTTTCTTTTATTTATTATTTTTTATTCAATGTCACTGTAATACATGTAGGGTCCGAATAACAACAACATGTAGTAAGAATTGTGGAGAATGCAATATGCATTGTAAATGTGGTAAATAAAAATTTTCTTTTTTTTCTTATTATCTGGCTGAGAAAACTGTCTCATACAAACGATATTCAATAAAATTTGTTCTGATAGCAATATCGGCTAGTAATTATATTTGTTTCTATTAACAAACTTGTTATTTTTTACTCAAGGTAACTGTAATGCTCCCGGTTGGACATTAGATCGGGGCGAAATTACATGTAAGAATAAATCAACTTGTAGAAATTGTTTAAAATGCAAATCCCATTGTGCATGCCCTCGTCCTGGTAAATAAAAATTTTCTTTTTTTTTTCTTATTATCTGACCGGAGAAAGTATTTCTTTGAATCTCAATGTGTTAAATCTCAAATTGACTCTGTGACTCAAAAAAAAATAAAAAATTGAACATACTTATCACATAATAATAAAAATACAAACACTTATTTCAACATGGGTTTTCTATAAACTTTTGTTGCATTCCACTCTGGCGTTTTGGTCAAGGAGCGGTTAGTAACTTTGACATTATCATTATTCTTTCATTTTTTTAATCACGCATTTCTTCCCATGACAAAATTTATTGGTCATACACAGAAAATAAGCTAACCTGATTGGCTCGTGTCAGTTCTAATTTATGATCATAATGCGCATTATGAAATGTTTCTTCGCTCTACAACAAAGTTAGAAGAAGCATAGTAATGTAAGAAAAATGTTACCCGAAACAAAGTTGACCAAGAGCACGATCTTGGATCAATATGAAAGTTCAAATAATTAAGCTGGCAATCTTTAGAGTTTTGAAATCCACTTATCGCCCAAATATCACAAACCAATAAAAATACTTTGAGCGTGCAAATAGACAGTATGTAACAAACGAGAGAGCCAATTACGCGAATATACAAAGGTCACATCCACCCGCACAAGCTTCCCAATTAACTGGAAAAGTATTAACGGATTCGATGTTATAATGATGTGATATATATCAAGAAGAGCATTTAGGATAGCGATAAATTAACAAATACAAGAATGACAATAGTTATTCCAAAGAGCCAGACACTTTCTTCCCTTTTGGGAGCTTTTCTTGTTTAGTAATATCCAAATAAGGGTAATTTTGTTGACTCAATATTGTTTATTAATTAATATGAATACAAAAAAATGCATGAAACATGAATTTATTTTGTTTGTGATTGATTGATTAAATATTCGTGTGCACTTAAACCATTAATCATGATACACTCCTTTCTACAAATTAACATTATCATGTTTAAGCTTACCTGTTCCAGAGAATTCCAAACTGCACAAAATATATATACACATGTATTTTCCATCAAGCATACTAGAATTTGTTTAATCGACTATCTCAATCACTACTGACACTTAATGCATGTAATCGGCACATAACTCGAAAGCGCAATCCATTGACCGAGATTGAAGCTAGTAATTAAAATCCTGGCATTGAGGTATTTTTGAGGAATGAGATTGTTAGGAAAAAAGCAATGCCAGAGTCTGAGTATATATTCCCACTTGAAAAACAGGAGCAATAATATATACTATGGAGAAAGGAACGCAAATATAAATTGTCGAGAAATCGCCACATTTTAC